GGAGACATGAGAAGAGGGGACACATGTTGATGTAGAAGAGACATGAAGAAGAGGGGACACATGTTGATGTAGAAGAGACATGAAGAAGAGGGGACACATGTTGATGTAGAAGAGACATGAAGAAGAGGGGACACATGTTGATGTAGAANGTTTCCAAAGTGCTGATTCTCTGTCTGTTACTTTAGATGAAAATAAGGAGCCCCTCCCCACGCCCCTCTGAGAGACATTTGGTTACAGAGAACTCAATGGTGCTCTAGGAGGAGATTCAGGTGATAAGGTGTGTGGAGGAGACACCTTACAAGAGGGGACACATGTTGATGAAGAAGAGGGGACACATGTTGATGTAGAAGAGACATGAAGAAGAGGGGACACATGTTGATGTAGAAGAGACATGAAGAAGAGGGGACACATGTTGATGTAGAGGAGACATGAAGAAGAGGATTTTGCATAATAGGTGACCTTTAATGTGTACGTTCCGATACTCATTCTACAAAACTTTTAACATATCCGAAAATTATATATATTTTTTCCCAATACACACAATTTAAAATGCAGTATGCTAAAAAATACCAGGATGTCCAACTGTATCCTGTCACCTTTTTGCACGTGCAAGCAAGTCAGCATGCATGTTTGGCTTTTTTCAGACTAACAATCTTTCTGACAGGGTTACTATGAGCAATGAGTTCCCAGCATGCAACAGTATCTACTTTATAAGGGCAGCTGCAGTCGATACTAAAAGTACAAAGTATGTGATTTGTAAGAGTGTGCTGAGGATGAAATCAGGAAACATTCCTACCTTCCTGCCAGGCTCACTCTGTCCTCCCATTGGTCGGGATACAGAACCACAGCCTCCATGTCTGGGCTCTGATTGGACAGCTGGATAAAGTCTGGCCTCTGATTGGTCCTTGCCTGGCTGCCCTCAGCCTTCACAGACAGAATCACACAGGAGGTCATTAATCTGAGCATGCAGCGGAGATACTTGTGATCAAATGTTTTAAGATAAGATGGAACTTCATTCATCCCCTTGGGTAAATTCAGGCGTTTATAGCAGCAACAGGGTCAGAGTGAAAAACAGGATTCACACAATGTAAACATAAAGATAAAATAGAATACACATTTAAATAATAATGCAAAAAAGAAGAAGTGATGAAGTAACTGATGAAACAAGATGTCACAATAAGGCCCTTCTTCCTGTTGTTATGTGACTAGTCCCAGTAAAAGCTTCTAAGTAAATCTTAAAGTTAGATATTGCCTGTTCTCACCCATGCAGACGGGACCTGCAGACTGACGGTGCTCCCCAGCTCCTGATTGGTCCTGTGAAGCCCCGCCTCCACACCTGGGCTCAACCTCTTAGTGCAGGGGGAGGGGCTAACATCCAGAGGGCGCGTCTTCCCCTGGGTTACACAGACAAACGGTCAGGTTAGCTCTTATTTCATCCCAAAATGTGGTGTTTACATAAAGGAATACTTTGCCCTAAAACTAAAGTTATGTATACGGATAAGCAGCTTGTTTTACTTTATAGGCTTTAAGTAGAGGCATGTGAAAAACAACAACGTTTTCGTGGTGTAACACAGGGTGAGTATTCCTTTAATCGGGTTTCATTTGTGATAGCATGTTTGTGTGAGTGCCCTCCTCACCTCCTCCTGCTCCTGTTTCTCGGGGCAGAACGAGTCCAGCAGCCTCAGGTCCAGCATGGACTTCACCATCAGGACCCCGTCTCCCATCGTCCTGCGGGACCAGCGCCGGCGAGGGAGGCGACTCCCACAATCCTCCTGAAGAACCCCAAATACAGAGAACACTGAGGGACATTTCTACTGAAACAATGCTGTGACCTTAAAGGTCCCCTGTTACACTGTTTTTCATCAATATATCACAGGTCTCAGATATATACAGAGCCTGTCTCTGATTGGCTGAAACACCAAACAGATCATTGCAGCATTACCCATAATCCTCTCTGTTTCAGCCCTGTTTCCAAAGTGCTGATTCTCTGTCTGTTACTTTAGATGAAAATAAGGAGCCCCTCCCCACGCCCCTCTGAGAGAGATTTGGTTACAAAGAACTCAATGGTGCTCTAGGAGGAGATTCAGGTGTTAAGGTGGGGGGGGGGTTACCTTGGTTGCTGATTGGCTAATGGTTACACAAGACAAAACATCGTGATGACATCATAAAGTGGCCAAAATCTGATCAGCTCATTTTCAGACAGGTTTTTATAGAAATGGGTCAAAAAGAGAAAGAATCTTTGTTCCTGAAACTTTCAGAGTCTCTTTCGAGAAGAGGGGACACATGTTGATGTAGAAGAGACATGAAGAAGAGGGGACACATGTTGATGTAGAAGAGACATGGAGAAGAGGGGACACATGTTGATGTAGAAGAGACATG